ACTTTTACCGCTGTTCGTTGCTTCCAACACAGGAAAAAGTATTGAGATTGAACGCTACCTCGTATCAGAGCTCAGATAGAACTGTCCAGCACCTTTGTTTATGACTACAAAATGAGCACGAGCGGCGAGGAATTCGCACCTCACCCAGGAAGGACGAACGACAATGATGCCCATGCCGGTGAACCGAATAACATCACAGTGCAAAATAAAATTATCGCAAAAATACTGCCCGTGAATAAATTTAAAACTCTGAAATTTTTGTCACTCCTTCCTTTAATGAATGGGTATTTTTTTTCTTGATTATTATGTTTTGCTCTGCAATACATGTTTGTACAGATCGGTTCACAGACATGGGCATCATTGTCATTCGTCCCCCCTGGCTGAGGTGCGAATTCCTCGCAGAGCAGCCGCTCGTGCTCATTTTGTAGTCCTAAACAAAGATGCTGGACAGTCCTATCTGAGCTTTGATACAAGGTAGCTTACAATCCCAATACCTTTTTCCTGAATTGGAAGCAACGTACAGCAGGAAAAGCCGTTGAGGATGCATTGCAATACATCAAAATGTATGTAGCAGGAGTTTGAACCAAAACTGCCTAGGGATATTTTAAAAATGTCGAGGAACAAGTCATTCGACGTCAGAGCAAAGTTTGGAGCAATTTATAGTGCTTCTAAAATTGAAAAGTACCTTTTAAAGAATAGCACGATAGGCAATCGGCTTCTGTTTTCAGAGTTAGCAAACACTGAATTTACTTGTCCCGAAAATTGAAACTGGTGTCTCCTTCTTCCTGATAGTAATTTATTTTTGAAATTCCAAAACAATTTCACAGCTGAATTTTGAGCGACTTTGAGTTACGGACTTCTGCTCCAACGATTTTTCTGAAATTCCTCTGGCATATTTATTATATTAATTAAAGCCAATACCAGAAATTTCAGAAAAAAATATCTGCAAAATTTTTTACTAGATGCGATATTCTTTGAACAGTAGGGCCCTTTTAAGCGCTAATTTCTCGAGAAATATTTACCTTCAATGAGATCGGAATATTTCGTGTTATTGCCAAATGATATCTGTTGTTTTTTGCAAAGTTTGGCAGCCCTCGCGTTAAAATCGAAAACGTTATGACGGAAAATTTGTCACAGCTTAATCCTCTTGTATTAATTACGGAGCCACCTTAAGCCGGCTTCCCGGTGTTCGCTCTTTTTCAAGATGAACTCGAGGCAAGAAAATCGATCAGAGCTTTCTGTTTACAGCCAAAATCATAACTAAATAATCTTCGAAACCTTTTCTTTGAATTTGCGGGTCAAAAAATGTCTAAAGGCTTTTTAAACCTGATACTATTGTAGGTTAGATCATTGCTCGTGTTTTAACTTAAGCCGCATAAACCATACGCTCGACTTCAGGAAACCGAAAAAAAAAAACATCAAAAACATTAATGGCTCAAGCTTACCAGTCGAGATGCTGCTTCTGAAAGTCATCAAGTGTTCCAGAATCGCTTGAGACTTTTCAACCTTTTAACGCCTCAAGCAAGGGCAAGTGAGTAAGCTCATTTTTGAAAACGATGCCATCCGAAATCTGATTTCCAATGACTTTGACAAGCGGTGCATTTGTCAACAAAAAGCGCAATGAACAAACCAGCCACGAATTACAGAACAATCTTGATAGCAGCCGTATTTCATTTTGTACACCAAGTAGAAAAAGACAGTTTAAAACATCACAAGATGACACAAAACTCTCTCAGCTCCAGCTATCAGTAAGCAAGTTTCCAGACGCTGCAAAAATTTTTCGCATAAACTCACCTGTCAAATTTTGACCAATCAGAACATAAAAATTGGACGTAGAGCGTGATCAACGCGTGACAGTGAGAAAAGTCAAAAGCGATTGCCTTCCCTGCGTGTAAATGTAAAAGCCGGTTGAATTTTTGTGTCCGAGATCAGTTCGAAATCAACATTTTAAAAGTGCGGCTCATGAAACACGACTTATTTCATATGCATTTTAAAAAAATTGAACTTGAGCCTGCGATCATTTTAAAAGTAGCAACTTCTAAGCGAATACCTTTCAAATATTACTCGAACTCAGAGGGTCGATACCTGAGCCCGCGATACGGTCAGGCGATACTGGTCAGCAGAAACACTGTTTTGACAGCTGTCAATTAATCAAAACGTGGATGTACAATATCAGGTTGCAGGCTCCCAAACTAGCTAGAAAGTGTGAGATTAAACATTGGTTTGCCTGTGGTGCGGACGGACGGAAAGTCGGGTGGTCGGTGCACGGTCACGTGACTGCCGACTTTTCTAGGATGGATAGAAATTCTATAAAGCTATGGGGCTTCGAATTGAGCCCGTGATCAAATAAAATATCAGCGCAAAACTTTAAACACTACGTGACCTCAATAGATAGAAAAATGAGCCCGCGATCCACTCAGGTGATGATGGTCAGTGTATCCTCTAGTTTGACAGTTGTCAATTAACCTTCATTACAACGGCGAATATTCGAATTAACAGACTACGAGTGTGAGTAGGACATTTCCGGCCGGCATGTAGTGGAAAATGCCAGATCGTGTACCTGAGAGAACCTGAGCCCTCGTTATTAGTTTTCTGATAGCGGTCTGCACATGTCCCATTCTGACAGCTGTCAATTGACCTTAATTTGGCCTGCCAATTTAACTTTAAACGACTGTCAGCCAGCCAGCCTGAATTGGTAAGTGTGACATATTATATCAGCTTATATATAGGGGCAAAACGACTGGTCTTTTATCTGAGCCCGCGAGACGGTCATGTGATAATTGTCAGCAGATGTCTGATTTTGACAGCTGTCAATCTAATCGTACTCATACGGATGGCTTACATAACTAAGAGGCTTGTCAAGTTGTGCAAGATCTATTTTGACATTTGACATCGGCTTACTTGAAGTGTGTGTACGGACGGGCGTACGCTACGTCATAACCAAATTTTCTGGGATGGATAGTTTACCAAATTTTCTTACCCATGGTGCTCCGCAGCCACTCTATTACAGCTCGCACTGTAACTTTGGCACTTTTCAAAAGTGAGAACCGGCTGGCCGTACAAGTTCTCACTTTTGAGAGGCGCCAAATTTGCAGTGCGAGCTGTGATAAACTGTATAGGTGATTTTGGAAATTTTTTAAACGGTTTCGCTAAAAGCCCACTATTGATCGTCCTGAATATTGACTGAGTGCAATTTGTCTTGAAAAGTTGCGAAACTGTTTCACCTCAGAGGTGATGTATAAAAAGTATAAAAGGTTGGTTTACACACCCCTAGATTTGTTGGCAAGATTTTGTAAAGTAAACTTGTCAAACGCAAAAAATTCGGCCTGATTTGTTCTCCAAGAATTTTTTGACCAGACCTAATCTACTGTGATCAAGAGCCATTATGGCTCTTGAATGTGATCGAAGATGATTGCTTTTTTGGAGGGTACATAAAAGGTTATCAGCTCGATGTAAGATGTTTTACTCTAAAATCACTTAGCCTTTCCCTCATAAGTCACATGAATGTGCCTTTAATTTAACTAATTTGTGGATTACAAGTTTATTGTTTGATTTAAATTATAAATTTATTAATGGGAACTTCGCTTGGCCCTGGCTAAATCTATATATTAGGTAAGTAAGAGATAAAGCCTGAGAACGGAGGTATTAAGCCATATACGGCCCTCAGTATGTATATGGATTAATACCGACGTTCGAGGGGTTTATCTAACTTATTTCATGATATTATTCATGAGGTATAGGTTACATAAAGGTCGTCTTTCACAGGGCAATAATTGGCTACTTGTTTTTGACATCTGTTTGTTTGTCATTTTTTGATCCGACCGCAGACAATCACGTATTTCATTGTAAGTATTGTAAAGGTTTTCACACAGCATCGAAAAAGGGCGTTTCACGGGTCATAATTTGTTCAAACCACTTGCTCTCACTTAGGTGAGAAACGGAGAACAATAGCGCATTGTTTGTTTGCTAAGCCGACAACAATCAAATTTCAAACCTTTTGTTTTTTTTTTACTTTTGTCTTGGTATTTTTTGGAGGGGCCAGTACACTTGTGAGAGGGGCAATGGATAGTGACGACGAAATTTTCCTAACGCAAAATACTTTCTCTCAGGAGCCTTTTTCCCCTGAGTTGAATTTGGAAGAGTTAGTGGGAGAATTTAGAAAACAATGTATTCTACCTCACTCCACGACAGAAATACAAGTCTACGGATGAAGGTATGATACCTATAAATATAGATCATTTACAATTCGGGTGCAAGAGGATAAAAATGTCAGTCAGTTTTAATGGTCGCAAGCCAGGGAGGGTAATTAGAAGTTTCAGTTTTGTTTAATATTTTTATTTTCACTGTTAATTTTTGCAGTTTGGTTTACATCGACTCCTGTTGGACATAACAAGCTTGGAAACGTTGTTAGCAAAATGTGTAAAGACGCAGACCTACAGGGCCAATTCAGCAATCACAGTCTGAGGGCCACAACAGCAACACGTGGACTGGAAAAAGGCATCTCAGATAAGTTGATTATGGAGCGTACGGGCCACCGAGATATCAGACTTAAAATTTTCTTAGAGTGAACACATAGCCTGTATGATATATGGGATACTACTGTATTTTCTATAGTTGCAGAATAAATTTCTATATTTGTTAAAGGGAGAAATTTTATCAGAATGTTTGGCGGGGTCAAAGGAGGTGTATGATTTACTTTAATTGCTCATTATAAATGGAAGGGATTTATTTGTATATTGCCCAGGGCAGCAGGGCAATATACAAATAAATCCCGGGTATTTATATAGATATTGTCCTTGCATTTATAATTAGCAATTTATTCAGCCCCGCTGTTCCCTGCTACATTATCAAGCCCTCCCCGGACTTTCAGTTAGTTAAATATTCATGAAGTATGTAAGTTAAATAAAGGATGTTGAATAACAAAAGAAAATGTGTGATTCATGAAATAATAGGTGTTGTGCATCAAGGGTGGTCGCTTACAAGAGAGTTGACTGTACACATACCGGTATCACTTGTACACATAGCGAACTAACTAAATAAATACAGTTTTAAAAAAGGTATGATCAGTTACCGCTTCCTTTAGACTCTGCCAGAAGGACTGATCATCTTTTTTGCACTCTTTATTTGTAATGGTGAGAGTCAAGTTTATGACCTTGGCTCCGATCGGTTGAGGGAAATAACAGAAAAATATGTAAATAAATACTTAATAAAATATAACACTATATGATCGATACGAATTAATGTTAAATTTAAAAACGCAATTTATGAGTATTTTAGAACCCATAAAGTTGTTAGGAAAAACAGGTTGAATGTTGACTTAGGCAGACTGGGAGATACGTCACCCTGCTACGAGGGCCTTTATAATAAAAAAGCCATTTCGTTGTTTAGATAGACAACTCTCAGTGAAAGAAGTGACTTTAATTGCCATCCGACTATCCCTAACGAATAATACAAGAATACTCGTCGTCTCGGGCAATAATAGAAGACTGGAGGTTCCATCGATTGGTTGACTGATAGAGAAGGAATGCATCATCAGGCTACTTTATGACAGTCAGTTGTTGCGACGTTATTCGTTATTAAAACTGACACTGTATCTGAGGTTTCTTGAGCACTGGGTATTAATTCCACAGAACTTCCTCCACTTCCCAAAGTACAAACCTCAAAATACCAAGCTCACAGGAATAAATTTGCAGTTTAGATTGCATTGTATTTTCGAAATAAAAGTACATACACAGTGCGAATCCCAAGTTCTATGTTTAACGCAACACTAGTGCTGTTAACAATTCAATGTATTTCTTTCAAGAAAATTTCAGATATGATTGAAGAGATCCGAACTTTGTACTAAAGAACATTTAAGTTGAAAGCTTTTCAGTTACATTACACAAGAATAAACAGTGGGCGAGAAATCACATGGGCAAACAGATGACATTTTTTGAATTAAAAGTATTTAATACTGATTTGCTGCAGCAGCCCCCTCATGTGAGCCCAAAGTGATATTGACATTCATACAATAAAAGAGTTTGGGAAAACAGCGGGGACACACGGCATACTGTTAACATTTTTTTTTGGAACATGAAAATAATTTGGCTTTTAAAGGATAAATAAGACAAACGAATTTCAAAAACATTGTGCTAACAAGGCGGAAAATAGTTAATGGCCAATAATCCCGGGTTTTGTTTCATGCCCCCCTGCACCCATTTCCAAACCCAAAAAACTGAAAACCGGGTCTTGGAGAATGCAATTTTGAAAATTTAGGTTAAATGAAAGTCAAGCAATGCTCGAAGGGGGTGTCTACCAACAAAAAATGCCAGGGATACATTAATGACCATTAACAACTTGACACCTGGTTTTTTATCTTTCTGTCCTTTCATTAATAATAAAATTTATTTATTAAAACTATATTTATTATATTTATTTATTAAAACTATAACAAAAAAATGTCAACCTTGTTGATTCATAATACTTTGACAAAGTTATGGAGTAATATTCTCATCAATGGAAGGGGAAAATGGTATCAATCTTAGAACTAGAAAAAACATTGTGCACAGAAAGCTGGCACGCATGAAATAAAAAAACTTACCAAGGCTGGTGCTTGCACTATCATTGCCCACACAGTTCTTCGCTGTACAGGTATATACCCCATCATTTTGAACCTTTGAAATATTCAGCATGCTCTGATCACACACATTTTCTTGAGCATTACATGGAGTCCAAGTTATTGTAGGTATGGGGTATCCATCAACCTTACAGTCAAGCGACACACTTTTTTCTCTCCCAACATAGTGCGTATTTTGAAGAGTGATTTTCGGAGGAACTGAGATGGAAAAGAGTTTTCAAGTGTCAGACACATTTTTGTCCACTAAAAGATTAACAACCCATGATTACACAAGTACACGTATGAAAGGACTGAAATGTATAATTTTATCCGGTGAAGTCATGTAAAGGCCTCATGTGTTACCACTATCATGGTAAATGAACAGACAAAAAACAATGAATAAGTATATAAATAAATAGGAACTGATTGTTTACATGAATTAATGATTAAAAAAAATAATAAATAGTCAGTTACTCTCCATTCTCTAAAAAGTTAGATTTCAGTAATAACTGAAAAGAAATAATTACGTACAATTACATACAGTATTTACCATATTCCTCAATCTCCTTGGTAAACTGTATGTCCCCGATCTGTCCGATAACGTGTTCATGAAAATTGTCAATTATCTCTTTGCCACAGCTGCAAAAGTGTCCTCAACATAGCATAACCAAAGAGGAATAGTTCATGTATAAGTACATGTAGCTAGGGCTTGTTCCTTCATGTTATGCGCTGTAACAATTTCTGCTACAAAAACAGAAACTGGAGAGCCCATAGCTGTACTGTGTAACTGTTTGTAGTGTCTTTCATTGTACATGTATGATACACAGTACATTATTCATTCAAAATATTTCTCCGTTGCTGATTGGCTAAAACCAAATACATAATTCATCATGACCAGCTACATG